TATACACTACTAAAGGTGAAATTCTTGAATATATATATATATATATATATAATTCTTCTATCTGTGTGTATGTGACTGAACTTCTCCTAAACGGCTTGAATGATTTTGATGAAATTTTGTGTGTGTGATTAAGTTGATTCGAGAATGGTTTAAATTTACAATTGTACCCGGTAGATAGCGCTGTTGTCGAGATTTATAAATCATCCGTGTGAAGCAGGAGCGGATCGCTGGTTGTCTATAGAGACTTGTTTATCATCTTACGCTTATAACATAAGTTCAATAGTGAGATTATAAGCTCGTGATAAATTACGCCGTTCTCTTTGATCGCTTTTACCTTTAGACAAATATGCTTTTAGAGAACATATTTTATAAGACATTATGAATTTAGGTATGTCCTTATATGAATTTTTGATGAGTTTATATTTGAAGATTACATAACTTGAAATATAGTGATATTACATTAGAACAGAAAAGAATGATTTTAATCAATATTGGTTGTTAGATCATACTTAAAAGTCTTTTTACTTACCACTGGTTCGGAAAATACATCGAGAGTCGTGACATATATATATATATATATATATATATATATATATATATATATATATATATATATATATATATAATCGAGGTTTGCATCATATCTGGCTTGAAACTAACGTATTAGGACCGTGCTGCAGCAATATTATGGTTACCGTTATGGCTACCGGTGAAAGACCACACTCTCATAGGAGGCGTAAAACAACAGCTTAATGCTGTATGATATGTGTAGTACATACCATACAGAACACAACAGCACACAACATAGATTATAAATAATACTTATTGAAAGGCACTTTTTTAACTTATCACTGTTTCGGAAAAAACCTCTGTCCTGGGAAGAACCAGCAATAAAGTCAGCGGGATTTTTTTAAATAACAGCTTGAATTCATGTATGCCACAATTAACAACACAAAACAAATTAGAAATAGCTTGGTAGCGATCACCCTTCCCAGGGATTATTATCATCCATAAACTCCTTAATATTATAATAAACTTTTTTTTATACTACTTAGTTTAGTCATTGACTTAGTAAGGTTTTTGAACTTTGTGCTGGTTAAATTTTGTATATTTTCTGAGATTTTGTTGCAAAAGCGTATACATCGCCCCAAGAACGAATTGCTGACTCAGTGGGGTCGAGTAACTGGTACTAATAGCCTAGTGTCTGTTCCTCGTCAAACTCATGAAATTGTGTCAAATTCCATACTATACGTTTTAATTAAAATATTTTCTTTATTGAATCCGACTCTCGTTATAGCCTGTGACTATAAACTACTTTTATTACTACTTTACGTGGTAAAGCATTGAAATTTAGATTTGAAGTAGTCTTGAGTACATGGATCGTTCAAAATAAAAAAAGAGTGCAAAGTATTCTAACAAAAAGGCATCCGCGCTGACAAACGGGCATCCAGTTCAGCTGAGTACGAAAAAAAGACACATGGTCGTATTTACGGAAACCATAAATGTATCTAGTGCACTTGTCAAGGAGGTGATCCAATGTTAAAATGATGTTGAGACAGGTCTGACCATCACATATTGACAAAATCAATATTCGGCAGAATATGAGATTGACAAAGTAGGATCTTTGTATGGGTTGGAAGAACTTTACAATTTATTAATGAAATAATAAAGGATTTTTAATAGGAGAGGCAAATGGAGCAAAAATACGGCTCATCTGATGGTAAGTGATTACCGCCCATGAACAACCGCAACACGTGGAAACTGCAGATGCACTGACGGCCTTATAAAAATGAGTAGGTTCTTTTCTTGAAGGTCCCTAAGTCGTATCGATCCGGAAAAATCTCTGGCGGTAGTCGATTCCATAAGGAAGTTGTGCGAGTTAGAAAACTTCTTTTAAATCGCACAGTGGCGGACCGCCAGTCATCCAGATTCCAGATGGTATGGATAGTATCGCGAGTTTTGTCGCGATGTGCGATCGTGAAATTGTGCGGCTGGAATTGGTCCGAACAATTCCTCAGAGCACTCCCCGTGGTAAATGCGATAAAATACGCAAAGAGATGCAACATCTCTTCGCAGTGCCAGTGAGTTAAGCCGATAGGAAAGAGCTCGGTTGCCAACGATTCGAATGGCTCCGCGTTGGATGCGATGAAATGGAAGGAGCTGGTACTGGAGAGCCCCAGCCCGGAGATGGGAATAGTGTACCATGTGTGGCTGAACCTGCACTTTATTAATTCGCCATGCTGCAGCTATGTTATGTTTGTATCACGAATGGATCGGCTCTACCGGGGTAGAACCACGCTCTCACAGAATACCAGCGTAAAAGAGCAGCTTAATGCTGCTGTGATTTGTATGGTGAGTGTAGAGAACCGGAGACCCATTTTACTGGAAACGAGGTATTTCATCTTAGTCCTCAGGGTTAACAACGCATCTGCCTTTGATTATATACTTGTCTATATAATCAAAGGCATCTGCGTTTTGATTCTTAATTGAGGATGTAGATGTCTATGGGTCACAGCCTTTGATTATATACCTGTCTATAATCAAAGGTCACAGCCTTCACTTACAATCAAGTGACTGTGTGCTCCTTTATCTTCCATTATCTATAAAAAAACTTGTTTCAATAAGACGGAAGATGATTTATTTTAATATTCTAGCAAGTAGAACACATAGTTTTCTTTAACATAGGCATAAATATCCCATAATTACATTAATGGTTGATATTAAAAGATTAATATTTTGAAATCATATTTCGTTAGATGGTGTCGCAACCGCTGTAGGTACATCTACATCTGCTCTGTTTCCAATCGGCAGTTCAACGTCAGGAGAATGTTTACAAACACAACGTGCCAAAGCGAGAACTGAATCGGCCGCTTTTAGTTTTCTATTCTAGTAACAAAGTCAACAATACACTCATACAGGCGGAGCACGTCGTCCGTTAATACGTCACATACTGATTGTTGGGTTTGCTGTGTTTTATTTAGTCCAATTTTACTTTCAGTGATTTATTATCTACTAATTTCTTAAAGATTTTCTATTTTTACTTGTTTGTGTGTATATATTGGTAGGCTTAATTTTAGAAACAAATCGAAAATGCTGGCCTATTTATTCTGGCATTAATTAATCTGTATTATCAATTTAAGTTCCTCACCACTACCATTGACTATCTCGTTGTGTGTCTAAGTGCAAATTCTAATAATGTTCCGATCTTGAAACTCGGATCGGGTCAATTTGCTAATACAAAACAAATAATCTATTTGATTTGAGTATTGTGAAAATTACAGCGAGCGCTAAGACCCATAAGCTACCACGGCTTTTTAATTATGTATAGATTATGTTTTATTTTAATTTCTTTATTATACTGTTTAAGCCGTGCCGTGGTAGCTCACATGGTTAACGCTCGCTGTAAATATAACAGAACGCGAGTAACCCGTGTTTCGATCCCCGCCAGCACCAATACAATTGTTAATTGCAATTTTAAGTGCTGATTTACCACTTGCTCGGCGGTGAAGGATCTTGAGGAAACCTGCATGTCTGAGGAATAGGAAAAAATATTTCGAAGATATGTGAAGTTTGCCAACACGCTTTGGAGCAGCATGGTGGACACTTCCTTGCCCTGAAACCCTCTCAGAAATGAGGGGAGGCCTGTGTCCAGCAGTAGGACGTATATAGGCTGTAACTTTACTTTACTTTACTATTTAATTTAATTGTATGAGTTGCTGGCTATTTCGAAATTTTGATGTTTAGATTTTGAGCTATTATTTTTATGTTTCGATAATTTTGAGACGTAATAACCTTAATTGTATTATCTCAATGCTTTTCTGATACCTTTTTTATTAAACCTGTTTTCATATTAAGTCTTATATACAGAAGTTTTATTATATTGTCACTATTTTAAAATAATTGTTCGAATTTCATTATCATTATCATTGCCATCTTAATCTAGTCTTGACGATGGCGTTAACCTACAGAACAACCTGACGATGTACATCGATGTCGCAGTAATATTTGTTTTGTATGATATGACTTCCGTAAGTACAGTTATGAGTTTCTATTTAATAATTAATTTTAAAAACTACTTAAATTTTAAACCCGTTATACTTACCGTACTGCTAAACATAGGCCTCCCCCATAGATTACCTCATAGGGGGGATATTTGTCATAGTTGCCACGCTTGGCAAGCGGTTTGGCAACCGCATTTTTTTATTTTTAGTTGTTAGAGCTAGTTCCTTGTCAGGTATCGGGAGCCGTATTTTAATCGGATGAAAGGCGCCGAGCCTTTGTTCACACTAGTCGGTTGTCGGACCCGATTGAAGCTGGATTCATTTTTTTAGCAGTCTATGTGAGATGATTATACACTATGAACAACGACGAAGCTTTTGTTTTGATGTATTATTTTATAAGAAAACAAAAAAAAAACCAAAGAAAATATTTTTTTTTGTCCCAAAGAATACCTCTTTCCTGAACTAGTGTGATTACATCTTTAGGATTTATATTATCTTTTTCCAGTATTACGAAACACCAAACGTGCGTATACTATGTCGGGTACAATAAAAACGCAACAACTCTGCGTGCGCGCCGCATATAGAGGGTTGCCAGGCTCGACATCTGATATAATGTGAACAGCGCCATACTCACTTATAGGCGAACGAGATTCGACAAAACTTTTTTATGAACAGCGCCATACTTACCCATAAGCGAACGAGATTCGACGCGATTTTTTATGGACGTAGAGGGCTGGCAAAACACCCGACATTTCTCGTTGGGGCTGACAAAAATACGGTGTCGGATAGGTGTGTTCTGTCACTAGAGCAGCCGATTTTTTGTCACACCCTGTGGGAACAAGTGGGAACGGGCTTTTATAAGGAAGACGCTGCTGTTCATCTCCTTTATTTCCCTCTGTCGTCTCTTACGACACCCACGGTATGATATGAGGTAGTGGATATCCTTACACCGCCACTACATGGTAATAAAAGTTATCTGCAACGCTGCTATTCTTGCAGGATGGTCGGCTCCGGAGCGGCGACATGTTGCTGCGCATCGGCGCGGTGTCGGTGGTGGGGATGTGCGCCCGCCAGGCCGCGGCCGTGCTGCGACAGTGCGGGGCTTGCGTGCGACTGCTGGTCGCGAGACCTGCTTCTGCTGCTGTACCGCCTTCAATGCAGGTAGGTCAACAATCGCACACGTTAGAAGTGAAACCTTCAGAAAATTGAGAGTAAAATTGCAATGTAGATAATAGCGCCATCTACTTCATTTTATAGATAAAATTATTTTATTGAGCAAAAATTTGTTGAATCTCAAGGCGATACGTAAAATAGACGCTAGATGGCCTAAACACGACTAATTTAATGTAAATCGATTAGTAATAAATCGTGAAGTGTCATGATTGGATTGGTTAACATAATTTTATTCAATATGGTTAATTTTATTTATTTAATTAGTTTTATACCTGGTAGAGCCACGTTGCAGCTTATAGTTGAAGTACGGATCGGTTCGACCGGGGAAGGACCAGGCAGACAAAATACCAGTGTAAAAAAGAACCGGAGAACCCTTTTACTGGAATCGAGGCATTCCATCTTAGTCCTCAGGGGTGACAACACATTTGTCTCTTTTTATTGTCACTTTTTCGTTTCTTCGTGTTTCAGATCACTACGATTTTTAAGAAGTTTCACTTCAAAAAGCATAAATTATCTCATAGTTATTCGTTTATTTATTTATTCTGTATAAGGTAAATAAACAGTTTGTATCTTTGACTAACCTATTCATCATCATCATCGTCATCATTATTATAGCCCTTCACAAGTCCACTGCTGAACATAGGCCACCGCCAAGGAATGTCCTAAGCAACTTCAATCCACCGACTTCCTGCATGTCATACCAGGTCGTCGCTCCATCTATTGGGCGGCCGTCCCAAACTTCGCCTACGCCACTGAATGTGTTAAAAATGAAGCTGCCACTCGAGAAACTTTCTCCTCCATCGGGTATCTGTTATTGGCCGGCCCATTGCCACACACACCCACACACACACACACACACACACACACACACACAAACACCTTGCATTGCCCTCTCCATAGCTCGCTGAGCGATCTTGAGCTTTCTCAATCCACCATCAATGAAGGAGCACGTCACAGATCCATAAGTCATCACTGGCCATACGAATTGGTAGTACAATCTTATTTTCAAGTTTTGATGGTCTTGATCTTGAGCTTTCTCATTCGACCATCAATGAAGGACCACGTCACAGATTCATAAGTCATCACTGGCCATACGAATTGGTAGTACAATCTTATTTTCAAGTTTTGATGGTCTTGATCTTGAGCTTTCTCATTCGACCATCAATGAAGGACCACGTCACAGATCCATAAGTCATCACTGGCCATACGAATTGGTAGTACAATCTTATTTTCAAGTTTTGATGGTCTTGATCTTGAGCTTTCTCATTCGACCATCAGAGACTCACGACGACTACGACTTTTTGAGATCGCGGTCTCTACTAAAACCTACTATTAAATATTAACTACCCTACTATTAAAAGGGTTCGGTTCTCTTGAGTTACCATACGAACACTGCAGCAGTGACCTACTATTTAACGCTGGTATTCTGTAAGAGCGTGGTCCTTCCCCGGTTTAGCCGACCCATTCGTGCTACAACCATATACTTAATATACTTCATGATCTTTTTTACCGTCTGGAAAAAAATAGGGTGTAATGTGAACGAAGTGGAAGTCTATGACATTGATATATTACAAAACTTTAAAAAAAATGTATTAAATAAGTAAATTAATTAAAATCTATCGAAATTCAAATCATATCCACCTAGCACGTGTGACCCTGCGAAGTGACAAGGTCAAAGATGCCTGGTAAAATTGTTGTTTTTTTGCCGTTGGTAAAGTCGGGTGGATATGGTTTGAACTTCGTTAGAGTTTAATTAATTTATTTACTCAATTAAAGTAAAATTTAAATTAATTAAATTAAAATTTAAAAAAAATTTAATTTAAATTATTTAATACAACATTTTTACTATTCTTCAATGTAATTTCAAGCAGCGAGATCTGTACCACATCCATATTGGGTAAAATATTTCCGTAACACGTTTTTATTTAATCTATGATACAGAATTATATTTCTAACTTCATTATGTTAAAAAATGTAGGTATATTTGTTTTAATTCTTTATATACAATTAAAACAAATATGTTTTAAAATAAATACATTTTAATTGTATACGAAGAAGGTTTATTTATTCGTAACAATGTTTACTACTTAACCCATTATCTAAAAAGTTCACCATGTGGTGACTATTGAAGTATGTTTTATTTATGCTTTATTGTTATTACTTTAAATAATAGGGTTATAAAAGGCTGACTAAATGCCTTTTGGCCAGTCAACTACGGGCGCAGTGAGATAATTATAATGGTAGGCGCAAAAGGATAAAAACAAATTAGCATTAAAATTTAAGAGTACAGCATTACAGCAGCAATTTTAATCACAGACTACTAAATATTATTAGAAAATAGAATAAGGTTGACAAACGAGCACAAACACAGTCTACCTGATGGTAATTGGATGCTGTGGCCTATAGACATTAACATTTATCCTCGATTCAGAATATAGCTGCAGCGCTCCACCACGTATGATATAAATATGTACATATTATTATATGTATATAGGTACATGATATATTAATGTTGGTGACGGTGTAAGATCCGGTTCCTAAAACTAACAGAAACTTTTTATGCTATATATAGATTATAAATAATACTCATTGAAAGTCAGTCTTTTGTTTAATTACCATTAGTTCCAAAAAAAAAATCGATCCTGGGAAAACAGACAAACAGTTTAAATAACAGCTTACAATCATTTATGTCACACAATTAATCAACACAAAACAAATTAGAAATAGCTTGGTAGCCGATCAATTCACCTTAACCTGGGGGTAGTTACCCTTACGCGGCTACAGGGGTAAAGCTCGTATTCTGGGAGGGGAGGGGGGTAATAGATAACAAAGCTTAGACCAACAAGATCAATCCAGCTCGCCCGTGTATTTCAGGTCATAATTGTACAAAGTAGAGATTAAGTTGGCGATATATCGATATTTACACAACTTTGTGAGCAACTGGAACATGGCAAAACTGACAAAACCATATTCAAATATTCCATGGTTCAGAATTTAGTTTCAGTAATGAACTCACTGCAGCAATATTTCCCAGACATGGAAAATCGTCAGTCCAACTCTTGTATAATAAGACCATTGTCTACTTCTTGGTAATAACATTTTTTAAAGATAAGGATGTGTCAACCAAAGTAGAATTTCTCTGCACATTTTGGCGAAAAGTATGTAATGAATATCCTATCATAGTAGTCAAAATTTTCAAAATATAAATTTTTATACGTGGTAGAGCCATGCTGCAGTTATATTAGTAGTATAGTCGTAGCACGAATGGGTCGGCTCGACCGGGGAAGGACAACGCTCTCACAGAATACCAACGTAAACTAGCAGCTTAATGCTGCTGTGGTTAGTATGGTAAGTGTACAGAGACCTTTGGAAACGAGGCATTCCATATTAGTCCTCAGGGATGACAACGCATCTGCGTTTTGAATCTTAATCGAGGATAAATGTAGATGTCTATGGGTCGCAGCATCCACCTACCATCAGATGGACTATGTGCTCGTTTATCACCCTTATTCCATAATAAAAACGTATATTTCAAGGGACGGATGGAGTTTGCACCGGATACAGTTCAGTAAATGATCGAACGGAGGTCTTATTCTATCCATCATATATGGCTTCCGTAAAGCGTACTTATGGCAGGGGTAAGCCATATTCCTGTCAGGTATGATGGATGGAATGAGAAGTAAATAGAGAACAATATTTTTTATGTACTTATGTACATATAACTTATGACCCGCACGCTTTGTATGGTGAAATCTGTTAAATAAATCTGTGTGAGTTGTGAATGAATGAACGAATATACTTTATTGTACACCACAAACAAATTTACAAATAACATAACGGAGAGCAGATTACATGTACAATTTGGTGGCCTTATCGCTACATAGCGATCTCTTCCAGGCAACCAAAGGTGTAAAAGAATAAAACAGTGAATACTTACTGTAGTAGGTGGTGTAATATAAATATACCTAATATAATATCAATACTTGCAATACGTATACACACACACACACACACACACACACACACACACACACACACACACACACACACACACACACACACACACAAACACGCGCGCGCACGCACACACATAGAATTGCTAACTTTTAATAGTGCCCTCTGAGCCCTTTCTAATTGCAATATGGTCGTTTTAGGTGCTCCTCCCCAGATGGTAATGCAATATGTCAACAATGATTGGCATAGTGCAAAATATACCATTTTTCTTACTTTCAAATCTGCCATCCCATCCTTCGCCTACTGATACGAAGCTGCCACTCGAGAAACTTTCTTCCCCATCGGTTATTGGTTCGTCAAGCTATATGGCCGGCCTATTGCCACTCACACCTATTCACACACGCTCGCTGAGCCATCTTAAGCTTTCTCATTCGACCATCAATTTTATTCGTCATTCTTCTTTTTGTTTCCGTAGTAATTCCAAGGGAACATTGGACTCCACAAGATACATTTCCCTATTTAAGAGCACAATGGTTTTAAATGTTGAATATTAGGTACATATTCTGTTGTAAATTTTATTAATTTTGTTTTTTTGCCTTTTAAGAGCAAATATTTGGTGTTAAACAAATGTCCACAAATGTCAAATGATTACAATAGAGCGTTATGAGTGGGGCGGGGCTTATTATTAAATTTTTTGAAAGTCAGGTCCGTTACCTATTCTTAAAATTATTGGTTAGTTTGTTTCTGTAAAGTTTTATCTAGTAATACATTTTACCGGCTCTACCTAAATTCCAATAAGAATTACTTCATCAAACAAATTTCATTCGATCTCAAAATAAATTGCTACTCTCGAAATTACAGCTAACGCACAATCGAATGGTGATTTAAATTGAAATTATCACAACAGAAGTCTTTCCGTTGCTAGATGGCGCTATTAATCTACGAGAATGTTTCTTTTTGTTATATTTACTATGTAATGAAAATGTTGATAAGTGAATTTTTAATTTACAAAATATGATATCCGAAAAAATATC